ATTTCTCTGATTTCTCCCCCCCCCCCCCCTCTTGAATTCAGCATATTTTATGTTCACCAATTTCAACAAGATTTGCTTTCAATGCATTTAACTTTCATTCCATGTCTTCAGTAGTTCTCCAGCTTTCACTGGTGTATATTAAAACTGAAATAACATTAGAAGTGAAAAGAAATAACTTGCTTCTAAATCTATATAATTTAGAACTCCATATTTTTATTCATGCTTTTAAAAGCTGCTGATGTCATGTCAATGTGTGTCATAATTTCTTCCTTTGTGATTCCTTGAGCTTATAAATATTGCTACCCGAATTCAATGTCAGAGTGCATCTGCCTGAGAGGCAAGGAACCAAAGTCTGCACACAAATAAGTCAGACCTGTAAAACGGATGTGCACACAACACTCAGGTTCGGGAACAAGTCCTGAGACAGTTGAACAACCAGAACTTCTGCCAGAGTTTACAGTCGTGAACGCGAAGAAGAAGAAGAAGAATACTGCTACCTAATTAAACTTATTTGCTATTCTAGTTCTTTTTTGTCTCTAGTGTTAAATCTACATGATGTAACATCACAGTAAACTAACATATCTAATTAACGAAAATTTATCACAACAGCACAGCGAGTTGATCTATTTACCAGAAGATTATCACTACCAAAACAATACATTAACAATCTATTTAAGGAAGGACTATCACTTACATCCCAATGAGTTTTCTGTCTCACTAAGCCACAGGTGCGTACCAACAACCCACGATCGTTTTAACACCTCCCTACCATAAGCTCATGGTGTAACCAGTTCACAAAACAAGCTGGCAAATCACTGCTACTACAAAAAGCTTCAACAACACAAACAAGCAGCAGGGCTGCAGCAAAAATCCACGACAGACTTAATGCATCCCGACCAACAACGGAAAATTATCAGCGACTAAACTTTAATTTTAAAAAAAATAGTTCTCCCTTCATTCACAGTGATTTTACCTAGACGGGTCTTAACCTGTGGGTCGCGATACCTTTAGGGGTCGAAACAACAATTTCACAAGGGGGTTGCCTAAGACCATCGGAAAACACATATTTACTGAAGTTTTGAAGTAGCAACGAAAATAATTGTATGGTCTAGGGGTCACAACAATGATTATTCAATTAAAGGGTGGCAGCATTAGGAAGGTTGAGAACCACTGTTCTAGACAGTGTTCAGTGGATTACCTCCACTGGGTAGTCTGTAAGGATAAAAATCTCTTTTTACAAATTTCATGATTCAGGCACCTAATCTGTTTACTCTTCCACCCCCTATCAGCTTGCAATTACTTTAACTCTTGTTGTCTCTGAAATTCTAGTTCTTCTTATCTTTTCTTCTGCGTTCACCTTTTAAAAGGGTAATTGGCATGCTGTGTGTCATAGTTTACAGCGAGACTGCGATACCTGCGCCTTTTAACTCTTTGGGTTCCAAGGAACGCATCATACGCTCCTACCTAAAAACCTAATTAACACATTGTGCGCCAATTTTATGTCTCTCTTAACTACTCCCTGAGCCTGTGATTCTAAACCCACTGGGACTGAAAGAGTTAACCCAACACATCCAATTTCAACTAGTCCTTAACTAGTCGCCCTATATCATATGCTTCTTAAGGAGCAGTTGTGTTCCCCCCCCCCCCCCCCCAGCCCACATGACGAGGACAGTAAGTAAAGATCCCTTCTTCAGGTGTCTGAGCACATAGGGCTATACCTATATTTTAAAGACCAATCTGCACTCAGTGGGTGATGGGGTGAGCATCACAGCGACCGCTATTACTTTCCAGGACTTTCACCTGGTACCCATTTTAGGATCTACAAGCGAGCCTCTAGCTGCTACACCATGGCGGCTCCCACAAGAGGCGGAGAAAACACATTTTATTTTATGATTTGCATGCCTATTTACATGATTCTGTGCTGACTTTATCTTGTATGACCTCATTCCTGATTTTACCTCTTCTGGTCACTCCTACAGTCTTTCTCAAACACCACATTTCCATGGTTACTAATTTTCTTATATGTTTTGTTGAAAGTGACAACGTCTGGCACTGGTAGCATAGGATGGGAATGAATATGCTTTGTATGAGATGTTTCTTTGTGCTGATAGGGATTGCCTTATGCTGTAAGAGGGCATAAGTTCTAGTTCAGAGTAGCCAACGTTAGAGTCGCAAGAAGTTACGATAACAACATTATGGAACAGACTATATATTTACTTCACAGAAGGAAAGAAGCCACCCAGAATTATCTTTATTGGAGAGTCATGTGGTCTAGAGGTTAGACATTTGCCTACAGATCGGAAGGTCGTACGCTCAATTTCTGACATTTTTCAAAAATGAACTTGGCTCCCAGATCAACCCAGCCTTGAGTGGGTACAAGGTACCATCCTGGGAAGTAAGGGCGGCCAACACGATGCTGACCACATCACTCACCAAGTGCCATTTGGTCTAAAAAATATAGCTCTAGCCGTATATACCCAACATGCCTGAAAGGCACGGGAAAATAAACTAACCATGCTCTTATCTCAGGTCAGTTTAAAATGTGTTTACTGAGACTAAAAAAAATTTCTATTTATAGTCAAAAAGATAAGTTTTCAAATTTATCTTTACAAGAAAAAATTAACAAATATGTGGGCCGAAACTCACGTCAATTTCTAGAAACTTTGGTAAACAAGTTCCATGACTCACTTATCAAACATAGAAAAAAAAACTGCCGTGGATTTTTGCTTGTTATCTACAAGCTGATCTAGGCTAAAAAACAAAATAATACGAACACAAAAAGATAAAAACCACACTCGTCTGTAGTGAATACCTTCTTTAAAGTCAGGGTAACCTAAACAAGCAAATAAATAACAGGTAATCACCAATTCTTTGAAGCACACAGAAGACTTCAAAAAGAAATCATGACAAATAATGGGGTTTTGGGAACATTCATTATCTTGACACACGCATGCACATAAAAAAGGAACAAATAAAAAAAGATGACTAAGGAGAAAGACAATGAAAAGGAAGGAATTTTAATGCAAACACAACTATAATTGTTTGATCATAATAAAAGGCAACAAATATAGACTTAATGAATTTGGATGTTATCACTTTTGTTTTGATATCAAATCAACTACACATTGTTTTGAGGAGTTATCTTTCCATGCCTGCCTCCTGGATGTAACTCCTGTTTAAATTCTTCTTCTTCTGCCTTTCTATCCCCCAATGGAGCATAGGCCCTCAACCAACTCACGCCAAGTCATTATATCCTTCACCATTACACGGAGCTCTCCCCATGCCCTCCCCATCTTTCTAACTTCATTCTCCAGCTCTCTTCTTCATGTGTTTTTTTGGCCTTCCTTTATTCCTATGCCCCCGGGGGTTCCAATGCAAAGACATTCTAGTTATGCTGTTCTGTTTTCTCAGTGTGTGTCCTATCCAACGCTAGCGTCTTTCCCTCACCTCTTGGTCCACTGGAGCCTGTTTAGTTCTCTCCCAAAAGCTCTACATTAGTAATTCTATAATACCATTTAATTCCCTCTATTCTGCGCAGGCACCAGTTAATGAATGTCTGTAATTTATTAGAAACTGCCTTAGTTGTTCTCCATGTTTCCACCCCACACAAAAGTACTGATTTGACATTAAAATAAATTTTTTTTCAGTTGAGTATTTCTTTTAATTTATTTTGAACTCCAGTTTAAATTATCTCCCTTTGCAACCTTTCTCTACAACCAATCAATGTACACTCAACTGTGCTTTACTCCTAATGTATGGAGTTCCAGTGTCCCATTTAGGATGGGGTGGGGGGGGGGGGAGAAGAGACCCACTAACCTCACCCTTCCCCGGGACAGACCCACTTCACCCCCATCCCTCCCCCTCTCCAAGCATGTCATAAAAGGCAGTAATTAGGGATTTTTACATGAAAGTCAGCAGGGATCTCCTTGAGAGACGAGGAACCAATAGTCTGCATACAAACAAATTAGATCTGTAAAATGGATGTGCATGCACAACTCAAGATCTGACAAGACTAAAGTGGAGAACAGCCAAAACTTTTCACCGGGGTTTACAGCCGATGAATGTGAAGAAAAAGATTATTTAAATTTTCCCCCTGTCTAATTGTTTTTTTGTTGTGTTATGTCTAATCCTGCTTTTCAGTTTTCTATAATTATCTTATATCACAGCCTGACTGTACACCACAACACAATGTACCAACTGCCCTGTAAAGAGTGAATGCAGAAGAAGTAGCATTTTCTATTTAAAAAAAATCAAACATTTCTAATGAAATAAAATAATGCTATCAAAATTATTAAAAGATAAACAAGAGAAATATAATGAATGTAAGATGAAATAACTCTGCGACAATTTTTGTGAACAACACAACTAATTGAAACACAACGTGTTGAGTTGAAAGGTGTAGATATTGCAGCCAAGCTGTGAACCACAACACAGTGAACCAACCACCATTTGAAGGGTGAATGCAGAAAAAGAAAAAAGTAGAAAATGGAAAGAAGATAAAACATGAAGACAAACAAAATCCATTAGCACAGAAGTTTCAAAAAAGGTAATTCTTGCTAAATAAACAAGTCAGTCAGAAACATTTAATTGTTAACAAAACCAAAAGTTAAATTGTTATAAAGCAAATAAAATAACTACCATGGACTCAATATGTTAAGCATTCACAATGACGTAACAAAGCATGTTTTTACGTTACATACAAATCTCAGATAATGCATAGATACGAGGTTAATGATTACGGAAGAAATGCAGCTGAAACTGTGCTTCAATTAATGATTACGGAAGAAATGCAGCTGAAACTGTACTTCAATTAATGGAGTTAAAAATATGGATATAAGCAAATCCATCTGAACGATAAATCTAAAAACATGGCTAAGTAAACTCACATAAAGACTCATAGGTGCAAATGATTTAAATGTTAATTCAACAACTATTTAAAAAAAAAGCGTATTCAATTTGCACACAAAGTTGCATGCCCTAAGAAAACATATTAACATTACCTTTGGTAAACAGGACAGGGATGTGGTCTGTGCTTAGTTTGTTCTTGCTCTTGACACCAATCAACAGAGGACTACCTCTCCTGTACAGAAAACAAGGCAGGATGTTACATTCAAAAGACAAGCACTCCAGATCTGTAAAACGGATATGCATGCAAAACTGAGGTTCTGGAATAAGACTAAGTCCAGAAGTGGGTGAACACTCAAGAACTTTGCACTGGAGTTTACAGCTGGTGAACACTCAAGAACTTTGCAGTGGAGTTTACAGCTGGTGAACACTCAAGAACTTTGCACTGGAGTTTACAGTTGGTGAAAACTCAAAAACTTTGCACTGGAGTTTACAGCTGGTGAACACTCAAGAACTTTGCACTGGAGTTTACAGCTGGTGAACACTCAAGAACTTTGCACTGGAGTTTACAGCTGGTGAACACTCAAGAACTTTGCACTGGAGTTTACAGCTGGTGAACACTAGGAAGGAGAAGAAACAACTTATAATATTTAGCTCTAACATCAAATCAGTACTGCTGTGTAGAGCTGAAACACGAAGAACAAATGAAACAGGCAAATAAACTGCAAACACTCATTACTTGGTGAACATGCAGAAAAGAGAGAATTATATGGTATGACAAAATTGTTAATGTGGAGCTTTGAGAGAAAACAAAACAAAAAAATCAAGTGAACCAAGAGGTGAACAAAAGACACTGATACTGGGATGTCTTCACACTGGAACCTACAAGGTCACAGTAACACAAGGTGATCTAAAAGAAACCTGAAGAAGGGAATCAGAGAGTGAAATTAAAAAGGTGTGGAGGACTTGTGGTGAGCAGCACGCGATAACAAAAGATGGAATGACTTGATGCGAGTTGGTTGAGGGCTGAGGTGACCATGTGTCCCATTTTCAGTGGGACTGTTCCCCCCCCCCCCCTCCCCCTTCCCTCTTTTGTGGGAGGTGTAACCCAGGCATCCTACCAGCACTATACACATGTTTAAAAATACAACTCTCAACTCTCGTTTTATACAAATCAAAGAAATACTCAATAACAGAACACCCTCTAATAGTTACATCTGTAGATCTTATTCAATTTCAGTCTAAGATCATTTTAATACCTTCAATGTGGCGATGGCTACTGAGGGGAAAAAAAGTCAAAACTTAAATTTTAGAAACTTTCAAGTCTGTGGATGTTAGGAGGCTATAAGGTTAGGAGGCAGTGGCAGGGGTATACTGACTTGCTTGGGGTGTCCTGTTTTCAGCTCAAGACAATAGGTCACATGACTGAGGGCCTATGCTCCATTGGAGTTTAACTCTTTGAGTCCCAAGGGGTTTAGCATCACAGGCCCAAAAGGTAGACAAGAGAGACGTAAAATCGGCGCATCACGCGTTCATTGGGCCTCTAGGTAGGAATCTATGAACGTATGATGCGTTCCTTGGGACTCAAAGAGTTAAAGGGCAGAACAAGTAAAGAAAGAAGATGTATACCAAATATTCTAGGTGCTAATTAGTCCACTCCTTCAGGCATATTGGGGATATAGAGCTAGACCTATACTTTATAGACCAATCAGCACTCGGTGGGTGATGTGGTCAACCTCAAGCAGGCCGCTTTTACTTCCCAGGACTTTACCTGGTACCCATTTAAGGCTAGGTTGACCAGGGAGCCAAGATCCTATATGAAAAAAGTTTGCCTTTATCAAGACCTGAATCCAGGACCCTCGGATCCTCAGGCGAGCTCTAGCCACTACATCACGGCTGCTCATGAATATACTGGGGGCTGGTCATAAAATTTGTACCCGGACTATGAAATAAATGTCTCAGAGAAGTTGAGCTTTGTACAGTAACTTATTCTTATATAGCCACCACTTGAGCCGATATACTTGGCCTTGATAAGACCTTGGGAACAGAACACAGTGACCGTAACATCAAGGGCAATATTTCATCAAAGTTACCTGGTAGCAACCACCTCCCCTGGGTAATGTTTGCTAATGACGGCAATTGCAAAAGCCCCTTCCTGGAAAATGAAACAAACAAAACAAAATCATGAGTAACATGTTTACTAAGAGTACAGAACCTTTTTTTTTTTACATCACTAAAGCATCAGGCTAATGATGCAAGACATACTTTTATACACAAACTGTCAGTCGGGGGTGGGGAGAAGGATGATGTGGTCACTGTCAGCTATGCTTTTTAATATCGTGATCCCCATATGGGATGCAATTTTTAGTTATTTTGAAGCCCCACCCTGGCTTTTGCCGGGGGCCCTAAATACAGCTGGGCCTTAAATATGGCCTAACGACTAAAGGTGGTCTGCGGGACCACTCAAGGGGTGATCCTCATCCGCATGGTGGCACTTTGTGTCACCTGGTGTTTATCGCTTGTGTGATGTCCTGGCAGGGAACAACTTACCTACCTACCAGTGTGCCCCCCCCCCTTCCGTCATTACTTACGATGTGCTTGTTGGGAAGGGCTGTGGCCTATTCTTGATTTCTCTTCCCTTCCCAGAACTCACCCAGGGAATTAATGGGACTGTGTCACAATCGGAAGTGACTAGATTTAGTCCTCTCAGGGCGAAATGGTTACGGACCACCCTCTTTGGGGACTACCTCTCGTAACCACTGGGTTGGCTAGCAACTAAACTACGGGGAGCCGCAATGGTTAGATGCTTGCCTGCAGGCTCAAATGTCTTGTGTCTGAATCTGCACTAGGACCAATTTTTATAGTTGACCCAGGAGTCCTGGGTTGACTCAGCCTTAAACTTGTAAAGATATTTGTCCTGGGGGGTAACGGTGTGATGGTGATCACATTACATTCCAAGTGTTGACTTCTTCACTATCTCTTTTAGCACTTCGAGTGTCAAGGGAGATCTAAGGTTCTGCTTCTAGCTATAGACACACCCTGTTGTTGTAGAGTTTCTTTGATGTTATCTTTCCACATGGTTCTTGGTCTACCTCAAGATTTTCATCCATTTCTTTCGGTGTGTGCCATGTACGGTATAGTGTCACAAGACGTTCTCTCTAAGTGGGCAAACTATTTCATTTGCTGTTGTGTGTAATTTAGAAATGGTGTTGTGCCAACTTTTTCTCGTATGACCTCATTCCTGATTGCATCTCTTCTGGTGACTCCTGCATCTCTTCTGGTGACCCCTGAATCTCTTCTGGTGTCTCCTGCATCTCTTCCGGTGACTCCTGCATCTCTTCTGGTGACTCTTGCAGCTCTTCCGATGACTCCTGCATCTCTTCTGGTGACTCCTGCATCTCTTTGGTGACTCCTGCATCTCTTCTGGTGACTTCTGCAGCCCTTCTCAGACCTCTCATTTCTATGGTCAGTAATTTTCTTTTTTTGATTTGTTATGTAAGAACACGTCTGGCACTGGTAGCACAGGACTGAAATGAATAAATTAATATGCTTTGTATGAGGGTCGACTGATCTGTACAAATATTGGTCTAGCATCATATTCTAGACCCACTAAAGAGGCAAAAGGGGTCCTTTACATACAAACCCCCCCCCCCCCCCCCCACCCCACCACACACATTCGCGCGCGCACACACATATATATATATATTAAAAACCAGACAACTATTGACACCATCAAAACTGGAACTCTGCGTTGGCTGATGAAAATGGTGACTGAGCACTTATGGAAATTTCCTAAGTACTATGATGTTGGTTTTTACCTTAACGTTATATTTTATTATTAAACTGCTGGGCTGAAACTGAGTCAAGTGTGTAATAACCTAACATATATACATCTAAATTACCCATATATAAATTATTTTTTGTTTCTTTACACCATGCATAATAAAACAGCTTCAAATCCTGTATCCTATTTTCTTCTTTTCAATTTCTGCAACCCTTTCTTATCTCTAAACATAACGGTCAGGTAACTGTCTATGGATATCCTGAAAGAATGTCTATTCTTATATACCAGGATATGAGAGACTATAAGTCACACTTCATAAATTTCCTGACATTTAACAAGAACTTGCATCAGACAGAATGCCTCAACAACCATGATTTTAAATGATCTGACCTAAAGTATACTGTATTCACTCCTGTTGAATATTGTAACTTTTGAATAACAAGGAAAGACATGTGAGAACTTTGACCTGCATCTGATGACATTCTCTTGCCTGTGTGGGTTCCGGGGCCCCCTTATTGTGAAATAAAATAAAAAACAGACCCCCCCCCCCCCCCCCCCCCCCCCCCCCCCCCCCCCCCCCCCCCCCCCCCCCCCCCCCCCCCCCCCCCCCCCCCCCCCCCCCCCCGCGGCTAACAAGCATGTTGTAAAAGCTGACTAATAAGGGGCATTTCTTTTGAAGTCGGAGTGCAACCGCTCAAGAGATGAGGAACTAACAGTATGATTAGGTAGCCAGCCTCAATCCAAGCCCCTTTACTTGTTCCTTATGACATGCATGACAAGATAATAGTGGTAATATTCTCTGCTGCTATTATGAGCCCCTCAGTAACATAAAAGAACATTGTTCGACACAATATTCTTATCAATGCTATGCTATCAATGTCAAACATGGACACTGTCATCACAAGACAGAAGAAAAATAGTCACGGCAGAAATGAAATCACGGCAGAAATGAAATGGTAACGTACTATGTTAGGTGTAACAAAGAAAGATCTACTTTGGAATGATATCAGGAGGAAAGTCAGCACAGAACCAATACTGAACTTTATAGGTAGACAACAAATAAAATGGTTTGGCCATGTAACCAGATTGGCAGCAGACAGGGTACCACAGAGAGCAATGTTATGCACATAAGTGGTAACAGAGTCAGAAGTCGACCACGCAGAAGATGAACAGCAGAAATATCAGACAATTAAAAGTACTTTATATGAAGCGAACAGAAGGGCCCGTTCCAGAGATCTCTTCCTACCCTAAAACCACGAGGCATTCCAAGAGTAGTGACAAGAAGTTTCTCAGTACCCATTTTAATGGCCACAGTCATCCTAGAAATAGGCCTGACGTCTTCCTTCGAAGTCGGAGTACATCTGCCCGTGAGGCAGGGAACGGCAAAAGCCAGTAAAACAGCTGTACACGCAAAGCTCAGGTCCAGGTAAAAGCCAATAGTCCAAGCGGACGATTAACCTCGACCTTCCGCCAGTATTCACGAAGAAGTAGTACCCATTTTAGGCAGTACAAACTAGTGAGCCTTCAACAATTAAAAAAGTCGATCTTAAAATAGTTCTGAACATCATCTTCTTCTACGTTGACCTTTAAAAGGGCAGTTGGCATGTTGTGTTGTGGTTTACAGCCTTTTTCACGGTATACGTTTTACAACTGCCTCTGTCGTAGTCTTTTATTATGTCAACATATTATGTGCTATTGTTACTCCAGCTTCGTCTAACACATAATTATACTATTTTTATTTTAACAGCCCTCCAGCATAGATGATAGCATGTTGGACGTCGGCTGACAATCCCCATGCGTGCCCTGTCTTTGGATCAAGCCAGGGATTTGCAGAAAAGCCGCATACTCCCCAGATTAACGGTGTACATGGCACCGAGGCTGAAGGGCTTCAATGCTTACAACACTGAGGCAAATGAGCTATGCTCAAGTGCGTCTGGTTCAGGGAAAAAAAAATCATTGAAAGATTGGTACTTTGAAGTGCACCCAGTTAAGAGATTGAAAACATCTTGTAGTAACGACTGTTGGGACTGAAAGAGTTAAGAGACAGGACACACCCATAAGTGATCCTTCCCCATTGTGAGCAGCAAGTGAAGAGTTCCAATTCTAATAACACCAGTAACTGTCTGATTGTATATCCGTCTCGCCTTTTCCTTGAGTGTTGAGCATCAGCTAGATCCCTGGTAACTTCTCGCAGAGCCATTCTCCTCCATCCTTAATGATCTATTTGTGCTGTGTAGTCTGTTGATTGGGTCTCTTGGATGTTTGCTGTCTCTTCTCTGCCTCCAGAGGTTTCTTTAATTTTCCTTGATCAGTGTTTACCTTCTTGTGATGTGGGAAAAAGATTCAAAGAACTTACCAGCTGGGCAACGGTCAGTTCCACTAGTTCCCTGAACTTGATCTTCTGATCGTTGTGGTTGTCATACAGGTGCTTAATCAGCTTGGCCACAACCTCAGTGTCTGTCTCAGTCTCAAATATATGACCTTTCTGACTCTGAAACAACCAGTATTCATTACGTTTCATTTTCATAAACCAAGACAATACCCAGTAACCTGTTTCACCAGTAATCTGTCTCACCCTTAATCTCTTTCACCATTAATCTGTCCATACTAGTAAGTTGTCTTTCCTAGTGATGTGTTATACCATTAATCTGTCTTACCAGTGATCTCTTTCACCATTAATCTGTATCACCACTAATATGTCTTATCAGTAATCTGTCTTGCCAGTGATTGTCAAACGATTAGTCTATCTTAACAGTTGTCTGTTTCAGCAGCAATATGTCTCATCACTAATCTATCTCACCATTTATATGTCTTAACAGTGATGTCTCACACTTAATGTCTTACCAGTGATGTGTTACTCCATTAATTTGTTTCACCAGTGATGTGTCTCACCATTAATCTACCTTACCAGTAATCTGTCTTACCAGTGATGTGTCTCACCATTAATCTGCCTTACTAGTAATCTGTCTTACCATTAATATGTCTTACCAGGTATGTTTCTCACCATCATTCTAGCTTAACAGTGATGTGTCTCACCATTAATCTGTCTCACCATTAATCTGTCTTAACAGTTATGTGTCTCACCATTATTCTAGCTTTCAGTGATGTGTCTCATCATTATTCTAGCTTACCAGTTTTGTGTCTCATCACTATTCTAGCTTACCAGTGATGTGTCTGACCCTTAATCTGTCTTACCAGCAATGTGTCTCAACATTATCTGTCTCACCAATAATCTGCCCTACCAGTGATATGTCTCACCATCAATCTGCCTTACCATTAATCTTTCTTACTAGTAATGTGTCTAACCAATAATCTGTCTCATTAATAATGTCTTACCAGTAACCTCTCTTCCCAGTTATGTGTGATACCACTAATCTATCTTACCACTTGTCTGTTTCAGTAGTAATCTGCCTTAGCATTAACCTGTCTTGCTAAGTAGTCTGTCTCACCATTAATCTGTTTCACCATTAATCTGTCTAATCCCTAATTTATCTCACAACTAATCTATCTTGCCACTAATCTATCTTTCTGTTAATCTATATCACCATTAATCTGTTATTCCATTAATGTATCTCACCATTAATATGTCTTGCTAGTAGTCTATTTCAGTAGTAGTCTGTCTAGTCTGTGGTCAGTTTATGTTCTCAACATCTTTACTTTTATATTACAGACAAACCCCACTGATCAACAGACTAGGCCGTAAACCCAAAGCCCTCTTAACAGCATTATACCCCTCTGGGCAAACCACTGTGCTGAAGCCCCTATAACAACCACTGACATGAATGAAGTGTAAATGGTCGATAATATTAAACATACATACAGATTATAATGGGGCCCCCTATGCTCGGGGGGCCCCCTGCTAGTGCCCTGGAGCCTATGCATTAGGATGGCACTAGTGAACCTCACTAACATACGTAAAGACAATAAAACTTACCAGGAAGAACTTAATATCCTTATAGTTTGTAATGATTCCATTATGGACCAAGGCAAACTCTGAAAAAAACGTATGACAAGTTTTCATGTGTTTATAACAAGAACCCTCATATACTTGACCTATTCTGTAACTAACATTCTGCAATAAGCTGTTGCAGTTTCTACTACTTTGATTTTCACCATCACTACTGTCGCTTCTACTTCCACTACTAATACCACCACCACTATTACAGCTACTGCTGTTGTTGCTGCTGCTACTACTACTACTACCACCACCACTATTACAGCTACCGCTGGTGCTACTACTACTACTCTTCTTAGCATTCACCGGCTATAAACTCTAACAAGCAAGACAACAGAGCAAATTTAAAAAAAAAAAAAACTAAGATCAACATGAAACGAAGAAGTATGTAATGAGTGGAAAAGTATTAATATAAAAGATATAATATGAACTGACATAAATAATAGGACAGTGTATTTTGTATTATAGCCTTCACATTCATACTCTTCACCTCATTACGTATTCTTGATTTCATTTTGACCGTTTTCTTTCTTACTTCTAATTGGCTCTGTTGTCTTGCCTGTAGTTTTCTAGGCACAGTTTGTGCTGTATTTAGCACTCCATTGATAAAAACTTTGGTCAAAACATTTGGTTATGTTTGTGTGCACCTTTTCCATTCCCTCTGTTAAGCTTTATAGTCAACATTTTGTGTCATATTTAGCATTTTTTTTCAATCAGCTCGACTGCAGTCACCCCCTATTTATGTTATGCCTTGTATGGTATAGCGTCACAAGGCGTTCTCTCTAACTAGACAAACCACTTTGCAACCAGCTCATCTGCAGTCATCCCTTATTTATGTTATGCCTTGTATGGTATAGCGTCACAAGGCATTCTAACTAGACAAACCACTTTGCAGTCAGCTCGACTGCAGTCACCCCCTATTTATGTTATGCCTTGTATGGTATAGCGTCACAAGGCATTCTCTCTTACTACACAAACCACTTTGCAACCAGCTCATCTGCAGTCACCCCTTATTTATGTTATGCCTTGTATGGTATAGCGTCACAAGGCATTCTCTCTAACTAGACAAACCACTTTGCAACCAGCTCATCTGCAGTCACCCCCTATTTATGTTATGCCTTGTATGGTATAGCGTCACAAGGCATTCTCTTTAACTGGACAAACCACTTTGCAACCAGCTCATCTGCAGTCACCCCTTATTTATGTTATGCCTTGTATGGTATAGCGTCACAAGGCATTCTCTCTAACTGGACAAGCCACTTTGCAGTCAGCTCGACTGCAGTCATCCCTTATTTATGTTATGCCTTCTATGGTATAGCGTCACAAGGCATTCTCTCTAACTAGAAAAACCACTTTGCAACCAGCTCGACTGCAGTCACCCCCTATTTATGTTATGCTTTGTTTGGTATAGCGTCACAAGGCATTCTCTCTTACTGGACAAACCACTTCTTTTGCTGTCTATGTATGTAATTTAGAATTAGTTCTGTGCTGATTTGTTGCGCTTATGCCCTCATTTGTTATAACCTGTTCTGGTCACTCCTGAAGCCCTTCTCAGACATCTCATTTCCGTGGCTATTAACTTTCTTTCACGGTTTGTTGTGAGTGTCTATGTCTGGCACTGGTAGCACAGAACTGGGAATGAAATGCTTTGTATGAGATGTTTCTTTGCGCTAAAATGACTGATAGGACAACACTGTTGTGACTGGCCGCCATGAACGACAGAGTAGACCTTTCTGATATTATCTCCTCTTTTGTATTTGTACTTAGCTGGACACCTGGTACATTGTGTTGTGATTCACAGCTAGGCTGCGATATCCCCACCTTTCAGCCCAACCCATCCAATTTCAGCAGCCATCTCTTCTTCTTTGTGTTCACCGGTGGTAAACTCCGGCGGAAAGTTCTGGTTGTTCGTCCACTTCTGGACTCTAGTCCTGTGCCAGAAACTGAGTGTTGCATGCACATCCATTTCACAGGTCTGACTCATTTGCATGCAGACTGCTAGTTCTTTGCCCTTCAGGCAGATGTACTCAGACTTCAAAGGAAGCTCCAAATTAGTAGAATCCTATGACATGCTTTTGGGCAGGCAGTGGGTCTGTTCTTGTTTCCCCTCACAAGGGCTCCTGGAATCAACATGGGGGAAAAACAGCTATCTAATTAGTCACTTCTTAAACATGCTTGGTGGTGTGTGACCCTCAACCAATGGGGTCCTGAAACCCACATGGAGAAAGATAATACTAAGCAAAGAGAATTAGAAAGAGAAAACAAAGTGTATGAAGGATTTACCATTGCCTGGATCCGACCTGTGAGGGTGAGCATTAGTTGGGCTTGGCTCACCATGTGTGGCCCAGCGGGTGTGAGCAATGCCCACGTGAATGTTGAAAGCTTTATCATAATCATTTCCTTCCTTGGATTCTGTTGAACAAGATAAGTCAAGCAGGTTTACTGAGTGTGTTGCCACACAAATGGAAAAGAAACTGGATGGGTTAAAACTGACTGACTTTCTACCTCACCAGGACATCACACAAGCGATAAACACCCAATGACACAAAGTGCCACCATGTGGATGAGGATCGCCGTGGAGAGGTCCCAGAAACCGCGTTCAGACAATTGGCCATATTTATGGCCTGACTATATTGCAGCCCCTGGCAAAAGCCAGGGTGGGGCTTCAAATAACAAAAAATTTCTTCCTAAAAAGGACGAAACTGGAATATATAATTAATTAATGAGTTAAAACAGTAACTTACCAAACAAAAGCAATTCAAGTAAACACGAGGCAGACTGAGTTGGTTGGTTCTGCTCACCAGCTGTGAACGCCAGAAAAGTTCTGTTCATCCATTTGCAGCTTTCGCTCTGTGCCATAACCTGAGTTTTGTATGTACTTCTGGTCTACTGATTTATTTATGTGCAGTATTTTGTTCCAAGCAAGATAATGTATCCAGTTTTATTAGAGACAAGCGCCACTGGAACTATAGCGGCCAAGCACTCAGAATGGATAAGACCAGACTCCTCCAACAAGCCCTTATATGGACACTGGAAGGGAAAAGAAAGCGGAGAAGACCAAGAGAGACCCTGCGTAGAACTACCATCAGGGAAGGCTCAACCATGGGCCTGATGAGCATCCAAGAACTAAACAATGTGGTAACAAACTGCCAGATGTGAAGAGCTATGACCTCTGTCCTTTGCTCAATAGAAAAAAACTATCTAACTAATTTTGTTCCTTGCCTATCGGACAGATGTACTCCAACTTTGAAGGAAAGATCAGGTTATTGAAACAACTGGTTAAGACACAAGCAGAGGACACTTTTTACACCAGTGCCGTTTTGGTTAAATGATGAGAAACTCACATGTTTATAGACCAGTAGGCACTCAGTGGGTGACTGGTTAACATCACTGACCAGCTTGACTTTCTAAGACCTTACCTGGTATCCATTATAGACTGGGTCGATATGGATAATCTATTTCAAGCGAACGAAAGAAGAAGTTCAAACAGTTTACAGTCAAGGTTGCCTATGGGTTCTAGGGCCCCATTTTGATGGGTGGGGAGGGGGGGGGGTTATATCCACTGCCCCGTCACAAGCATGTTGTACAAGTCGACAAATCAGGGATGTTTCCCCTAAAAAATCAGAGTGCATCTGCCTGACAGGCAGTGTAAGACCGACGTGCACGTAAAACTCAAGGTCTGGAAGAACAAGACAAATGTCCAGACAAAGGAGGATGAACCAAAACTTTCTACAGATGATGATGACTATCATCTACTTGACCAGTATGGACAGGTGATCATTCTGTGCTTAAGGACAGAGCATAACAATCTTAAGAAACATTATGCACAGGCTTTATCTAAGTAGTTCACCAGTGTGCCCATGCAGAACAGGTCCTACATATTCCTTGTACATCTCATTAAAAAGACAATACTGACCCAATGAGTCAACACCATAATCAAAGTTGTAGGGAACTAAAGGGAAACTCCAAAAATAGTCAATTTTATCGCAACTCATCTGCATTTCCACTCTATGCTACCAGTGCCAGACATGGACCATAGGATACTAACTACCCGGGACCTCTGAAGGGATGCTTGCCACTCTGTGCGAAACATGCCTGTTTTCATCTTTCTCAACATGCTCTGTGAGTCAGTTACAATCACGGCATGTATGTACAGCTGATTCTTAAGCCAGCAGAAGGCAGCAGAGACTGCCTCCACCTCCATTCTCAAACTAGACGTTGTGAAATCATATGCAAAGCGTGTGGTGTGTTCCTTGGGGCCAAATAAGTTTAAAAGTTATAATTAAGGATGTCATCTGTGATCTACAGTGCTGAAATGTTGAATGTTGAATTAAGAATCGGCATCAAAGCACTCAGGATACTTCTATAAGTGCTTTCTCCTCATCTTCAGCAGCAAGCGAAAAGTTTAAACTCTGGTGGCACCAGTAGCTGTCTGATTGAATATCCGTCTTGCCTTTCTCAGAGTGTTGAGCGTCGGCCAGATTAACTTGTAACTCCTCACAGCACCATTCTCCCCAGACCATAATGATCTACCTATGCCTCCTCACTGTTCAATCGCTCCTAAACAGCCCTGACAACATCAAGCTTATCATACTTCAGTTCACCACAAAGCGGTGCAGAACTGGCCAGTCTATCTGCATGCTCATTTCCCAACACACCAGCATGACCTGAAGAAATGCTGAGACATGCAAGGTAAATCACCTGGGAACAAACATGATGCACAAGACACTATTTCCTGCTGCGGTTGTCCTCAGGAGTCACATTTACAACAAATCACACTCGCATGTCTGGATTTGGAGACACGGCCAGTCATGCAGAACATAAGATCACATTTCATTCCCGTTAGCACAGTGGTTCTCAGAATGGTGTGAGTCTCCTCTCCCCCAATGGAGGTATGGTACTGAAGGTCAGGTCAGTGTAATTAGATGGAAGAAAGGGCAGAGAGCTACGTTAATTTGGAGATTTGATTTGATTTGATTCAAGAACCGACATCACAACACTCGGGGCATTCCCATAAGCGCTCTGTCCCCATCTTCAGCAGCCAGTGAGGAGTTCTGATACTAATGGTGCTAGTAGCTTTCTGATTAATCATCCGTCTTGCCTTTTCTCTGAGCCTTGAGCTTCTGCCAGAACCTCTCGTCACCCCCAACTGCATCAATCTCACCAGACTGTGGTGATCCATATGCTCCTCCGCATTGTACATGCTCTCCCACAAGGCACTAACCACGTCTGCCCTATCATGTAGCAGTATTCCACCAAGTTGTGCAGAGCCAGCCAGTCTGTCCGCCTGTTCATTTCCCAACACACCGGCGTTACCCAGTGAAAAAATCCAGACAATACTCCTCACTCGTGTCCTCCGCAGCGAAGCATGCCACTTTGCACGAAGCATACCTGTTCTGATCTTCCTCAGCATGCTTTCTGAATCAGTTACAATTACAATGTGTGTGTGTGTCGTGTTCTCTAGCCAGCGGAAAGCTGCAGTGACCGCCTCCACCTCCATTCTTAAGCTGTATGTTCTGGTATCACATGCTAGGCTCTCCTGCACCAAATGTCGACCATTAACTTTTGCTAAAAAGCCCCAAGCACTTCTTTCGCCTCTTGATACTGAACCGTCTGTGTAAATGATCAAATCCTCTGAGCGAGCATTATCTTGAATTAATTGCTGAATTTCCACCTCTGTGGCACCTGCTGGCCAGTCTCTGCATTCCCGGCTCAGCGTGATTATGACTCTACACAAGTCTGACTGCTCAGGTGGCACTTTGACCCACTCCTCTCCTCGCCTAATGTTCTCAAGGATGCAAACCTGTCTGATTGTGTCTTCTGCCTGAGCCATCCATGACCTCCCTCTTATCAGCCGCTGACCCTTAACTGCACCCAGAGCTTCATGCAGAGGGTGGTCTGTGTCTGCAGCTACCCTGAGATATGACTTCGCCTGCATCACCTAGTGCCTACCTGCAAACGTCGGCAAACCAAGGATGTATCGCATACACACCACTGGGGTGTCTCTGGAGAATTTGGAGAAGTAGAAGCGATCTTGCTAAGTTAAGCAAGGAAGAAACCAATGACCTTGTGCCCTAGTTCTGTTATGTTATGACAATCAACGTCTTTGCACACTGGGTATCCCCATGCATGCTTAGTCCTCCGATGCAGCAGCTATTTCAAGGTACCTCTACTGTTTGTTCCTAAGAAGAGTTGGTTACAGTGTCTCCAGTCTTTACCTCAAAGATGACACAGACGTGCTTCACCAAGCTTAACTCCTCGGTTATGCAGTCATGTTAGCATCAGAGATTCACCATTATTCCCCTAATCTAGTCTCTACAACGCTGGCGATATCAGCTCTGTCCATGCTTCTTCCCATTTGCAATATTGTATTACTTGCCAGCACATCAGCTCTTTCATTGCCATTTACTCCTGCATGCCCAGGCGTGTAGATCCAGAGGATAGAGGTTAATTGCGACTTCCGAATGCTTTCTACCCATTCACAGTGTAGACTACCTGTGGCGATTTCCTCAAGCATGTTCATGGAGTCTGAAACGATTACCGCATGTGTTGCTGCTCGTGCTCCGCTAGCAGCAGTTATCTCCATGGTCATGCTTGATGTAGTCGTCTGGTAAGCGCTGCTATCCTCTTTTATTGTTTTCCCCATCCTCTGTGCTGTGTATGCCCATGCTGGTCTTAACCCCAGGCCTCATGGACTCATCTGTGTAAATGATGATGTCTTCTGCTTGTTCTATTGGTTTTTTTAACAGGTGTCTAGTTCCCTTATGCTATAAACGTCTTAGGCTTTACCAGTCTGATATGTTTTAGGGGCACCTTTTTATTTACCCTAAATTTCAAACTGGTTTATAAAATATAATCTCCGTGTTGGTACTGGGGGTCCATCTGAACATGCCATAAAGGTTGATTAACTGGGGCCTTTCCTTTTAAGCTGGAGGGCATCCATCTGAGAGGTGACAAACCAACAGTCTGCATCCAAAAAAGCCAGATATCAAACTGCTCTGAATGCAAAACTCAAGCTCCAGAACGACACCAAAGTCTAGAAGTTGATGAACAACTAAAACTGTCCACCTGAGTTTGCAGCCAGTGAACGTGAAGAAGATGAAGAAGGTGCAGAAAGAGGTGGGGGAGGAGGAGCAAGAAGAGGAAGAGGAGGAGGAGAAAGAAGAAGAAAAAGAAGAAGAAGAAGAAGAAATAAAAGGAAGAGGAGGAGGAAGAGAAAAAGAAGAACAATTTTTAGTTTGGTCCTAGCCTAGCAGGATTTTTCTTTAAAAAAAAAAAAAGACCTTTGCTCCCAGGTCAATCCAGCCTTGAGTGGGTGCCAGGTATAGTCCTGGGAAGTAAATGCAGCCTGCATGATGCTGACCATAGCTCTATACGCCTGAAGGCATGGAACAAGGGTCTTTACTGTACCT